GGAGGAAGTCCTGCTGAGTTCATTATATTGAATACTATACGTTTTTCTCTAGAACTGCATGACATTTACTGAGAATAATGCGACCTTTATTCTTTCATATATATATATTCGCTTAATGAGCCATTAAAATGTCTAGTATTTAAAGCCTACAATGAGGATATTCACAGTTCAAGCTTCAGTAATCATCAAATATCTTGCAAGTACCTATAAGACTCTCAACAGAAGAAACCTAGCCTTTCATTTATCTTTAAATTCCCCTTTCATTCTATTCCATAAAATGCATTTATTTACAAAGATAGCAGGTGAAACCTGAAATTCTTAAGTAATCTAAGTTAGGAAAGGCAAAATGGGAACATATATGTGGGATAATGCCCTGCTCCTGATCAGGTCCCAGGAAATTCCACTCATGTTTTCTTACATATTCTCTAGTTAATTAACCAGAAACTTCTTCTTTTTCCAATGATCAGCATTCCATAAGGAATCTGTCCCCTTGGAAGCAACAGTATCCACAAGGTCATTTGCAGTGACCTCCAGACCTTCCAGACAGGCTTTCACATAAAAGCTTTGGGTTTGGACTTCACCATGGAAATTCCCCAGCAACTCATGCGGCCTATGACTGTCTCAGGACCAGTATCCATAAATTTGTGAAATGTCTACATGGTATTATCCTTACAAAATCTTGGCATGTTCAGAAACAAAATCATTCACCAAATAGAAAGTTACTATCAGTAATTTCTAGACAGATGTACCAGGGGCACCCAGCTGCTTGAACTGCAAGACAGGGATTAAGAGCCGTTTGAAAGCACCCATAATCCAAGAGGAGATGGTTACAGACCTGCTGCACCACTTAGACATACACAAGTCTATGGGTCCAGATGAGATACATCCAAGTGTATTGAAGGAGCTGGCAGAAGTGCTCACTAATCCACTTTCCGTATTTTAACCAGCAGTTCTGGCTAAGGTCAGCCTGCCCTTGGTGCTAGGAAAGGTTATGGAGTAATTAATTGGCTGAGGCTAATTGCATGAGGTTTAACAAGACCAAGTGCCTTGTCCTTGTCCTGCACTGCAGTCACAACACCACCAGGCAACAATACAGGCTTGGGAAAGATTGACTGGAAAGCTGCCTGACAGAAAAAGTATGAGTATGTTGGTTGACAGGTGGCTGAATGCAAACCAGCAGTGTGCCCAGGTGGCCAAGAAGGCCAGTGGCATCCTAGCTTGTATCAGAAATAGTATGGCCAGCAGGACTAGAGAAGTAATTGTTCCCCTTTACTCAGGACTGGTGAGACCACACTATGTTCAGTTTTGGGCCCCTTACTCTAACAGGGACCTTGAGTTGCTGGGGCAAGTCCAGAGAAGGGCAACAAAGCTGATGGAAGGGTTTGGAGAACAAGTCTTATGAGGAGCATCTGAGGGAACTGGGGTTGTTTAGTCTGGAGAACAGGAGGCTGAGGGAGACCTTATCGCTCACTACAACTACCTGAAAGGAGGTTGTAGTGAGGGGGTGTTGGTCTCTTCTCCCTAGTAAGAAGCAACAGGATAAGAGGAAATGGTATCAAGTTGTGCCAGGGGAGGTTTAGCTTGGATATTAGAAGAAACTTCATCACTGAAAGGGTTATTAAACACACCAGAAAAGGCAGCTCACCATCAGGTGGCTGAATCACCATCCCTGAAGATGTGTAGATGTGGTGCTTTGAAATATGGCTTAGGAATGGACTGGTAGAGTTAGGTTAGTGATTGCACTTGGTGATCATGGTTGCATTTGATGATCCTAAAGGGCTTTTCCAACCAGAACAATTCTGTGATTTTCCAAAATTTGTTTTTTCAGTGTTCTACCAGAAGTTGGGTCTGACCCTTTATTTCTATATATGATGCGTAAGTTCAGTAATACTCTTTTATCAGAACTTTTGAGGCTCTGTTACTTTGATTTTTCCATCATTCTATATTGCATAATTTTTACCATTGAACTAATTTAATAGGGTATATTACAGCAGAGCAGCATTTCAGTTGATTAAATGTGTATCAAGAGTATTAAAACATTTCTTTCATCTTTGTTCTGAAGTAACTGCATATAATACTATACAACCACTATTATATATAAAGGTGTATTTCATGGTTGTGAGGACTTTACAATATCTCATTCTAAAGTCTGCTGGTTCAATCAGTCTCGTGGCTCAGCAGTGCCAGTAATATTAAAAAAGCAAAACAAACAACCTATGCTGTACCACTCAGGAGAAATTACAGTTTGTGAGCCAAGAAGCAGCTTTGTCATGCAACGAAAGACACCTGTAAGTACAACATGCCTGGAAAATCTCAGCAGCTTTTAAAGTGTGCCTTTTAGGCAGAAAAGACAACTAAGGGACAAACTGGACTTACACCACAAAAACTTCTACAAATGAAAAGGACCTTGGGGTTTTCAGTGCACAAGTTTGTTTTTCCACCTCACTGGCTTTTCCGATAAATATATTTTAATACGATTCTGGATTCTGGTTGAGGCAAGATGAAAATAATAGAAGAGGAATTCACATAAAGACATAAAAGGAAGGTCTGCAGAACATGAAATTTGCTGCATTTTGTGTTATCTATGGAAAAAACATGGGATAATGTTTGGGGGGACTCTAAAACTGATTAAGTGCTAAATTGTATTCCAAAACACTACATTTGGAGTAACAGTGCAGGACACTGATTAGTGAGGCAAACAGTAGCAAGAAATACCACAATCAGCACAATCAGAAATCTCAGCACATTTTCCAAGAAATAAAAAACCCAACTTAATCTAACACTGTTGTGGTTTATAAACTTTGACCAGCCTGTCATGTCAGCTCAAGAACCTCTGCATTCAGGCAGGGAATTCTGCCAGGCCCATTTAAAATAAATTCAGGCTATCCATGTCCTATACTCATATCCTTCAGTTCCTTGTATTTGTTTCCGTATAAAATCCAAAAAATAACTGTAAAACATGCACTTCTGCTATGTTAATAGTTAATGCTCACTTTATAAATAAGCAAAAGATATTTTCTCAGTAGGCACAGGCACATAGAGCACATGTATACACCACATCTATACATAGATATACACACATACACGTAGCTGGCCATAGAGATCACACAGAGACACTCAGAAAACTTACAAAAACACTGGCGCCAGAGCCAATGTCTCCTCCTGCTCCCCTCTCTTGATGAGGAGGAAGGAAGTCCACTGGGCTGAGATGCACACTGATGGAGCCCTTGCCCAGGAGAGTTAGAAATGAACTTAATAAGAAGAGAGGACAGACTGCAATGGTCAGGTGCAGACAATCACACCAACCAGCAAACTTTTTTAATTAAACCTTTTTATCCTCTTGTCCCTCAGTTTCCAACATTTGCCCTTCTCTGCATCCCCTAATCCCTCCCTTTTCCTGCCTTCCTGTTCCTACAAGTCCTGTGCAATGCAATTCAAAGTGCTCTTCCCACTATACCATGTGTCCTCCCCCTTGGCAACACTTGAAAGGTGATTCAGTGAGCTGCTCCTGATGACTTATGGTGATGGGTTTCACATCTGGACATGGAGGCCCTGAGACTTTCCTGGGCAGCCCTAGGAAGGGCCCAGATACGGTGTTTTCATTTCTGGGAGCCTGCAGTTTGGGTTCCTGCCTGCCTTGGTGTCCTGTACTTCTCTGAGCTTGTGGAGATGGGACTGTGATAGACTTGGGAGTATCCAGGGCAGGGGATTATTTGGGCTTTTCCTCTCCCATTACTGTCTCTCAGCGCTTCTTTGCGGGTGTGCAGACAACCTGTCACATATAATTTAACACAGAGTACCTTAAAACAACAGAAAAGTGCAGGCTGCAGGAAGGACTTTGAAAATTACATTAACTTTGTATTTAGCTGAAAATTGCACTAGAAGCATCTTCACACATTATTTTCAGATTGAAATGGCAACCTAGTTTTTGAGACAATGTCCTCTGATGCTGCCCACAAATCAGGTACTATTGTTTCTAAGGTGCACAGGCATCTTGGGCTTTTCAGGTTTTAACAGTGTGGACAATCAAAATACAAAAATCCACTCATAAATAAAAATAACAACTAAAGGAATGTCAGATACCACACTCAAGTGTTCGTCACAGAATGTAATATAGAGATACTGCCCTGGCTGGGGGGATTTGATGAGGCTGAGCAGGGCATAGTGATCACCATCGCTTTTCCAAAGTACATTTTCAAAAAAATATCTTATCTCCATTTGAACCATTGCAGTCAGAATCTCCTGAAGCAGGACCAGAAGAGGACTGCTGCCAGAAAGCCAACAGTTTGCAGGTTTGTTCATGCTGTTGTTTTATCATGGTAAAACCACAGTTTTGACTAGAAAACCTCCCAAAAGCATGCTCAATTAAAGATACATGCATAAGGATTTCATCTAACAGTTTAGACATCTAACAAGTGAGACAAAATACTTTGAGAATTTTGATTCCTGAGATTAGCAGCAGCCTGACAAACATTGTCAGTTTCAGGCTTGCCATTATCCTGAACTGTTATCAAGCAATATGCCAAGTAACAGCAAATTTGCCCAGTCTAATGACTTCAAGTCCTTGTAGTTGTTATTATACATACATGTGCAAACACAGATCTGAAAACTTACAAGTTTACAATTATTGCCAAACATTAAGTCTCTTTCAAAAAGAAATCTGAAATCTTAAATTCTATTAATAAAGATGTCCAAAAAGATGATTTTTTTAAGTTAAATTATGTATACTCTTCTCTGTTTGACCTCAATTTACTTATGCCCCAGCAAGACTGCTGCAGGTGAATTTAACATGTCCACAGGAGTCAAAGGCAGCATATGCCTACCAGTTCACTCACTCCGGTGATGTTCACCTCAGAAGCAGAGCTCAAATCTTTCACCAGATCTACCGAAAGACTACATGTACCACTTTCCACCTAGTCTCAGGAAAACTGTTCTGCCCTTCAGCATTGGCCTTAAATTCGCCTCTTCATACACTACATTCTTTCTTCTTAGATTTTGCATTTTTACATATAAAAACGATTGCCTTCTGAGACAACTGCCCTCCATGCTCCAATGAATTCAGTCCCTCTTCACGTTCCATCCTGGGCTTCGTTGCCAAGCCGAGGCCTTCACTTGTCGGTTTCCAGGCTCTGACACTGACATGTTCTCCCTCCTTTCTCCAGCAGCCTTCTCCTTTCCGAACCCCGAAGAAGACGTCTGTTTGGGTGGGTTTTTTTTTTACGTGGAGCTCTTTGTATCACACATGCACAAAACACTCATGTTTTGCCTTTTAGCACCCAAGAAGCCGCAGGACACATCAGCTCTCACAGCCACCTGCTGCCAGCTGAACACTCCTGGCATTTTTCAAGCCTCTGTCTTCACACCGCGACACCGACGTGTCTCAGAACGCAGGGCAAAGTTCTCAAACCACGAGCGGCCAGCTGGGGAACAGCCCAGGCTTCCCACGGCCTTCCTGTCAGGGCACAGGGCGCTGCCAGCGGCTCACACCTGGGTGGGCCGCCTCACGGCGCTCACTCAGTTGGAGGTGAAGCGCTGCCGGCACAGGGACCCCCAGCACACGGGGACCCCGTCAGATTACACCGCCCCCCACCC